TTTTACAGAATGAAAGGAAACATCAAGAGGCAACTGGCTGGTCCTCCTCAGATATATGAAGCACATTTAATCCACTTTAAGGGTCAGTCAGAGGAGAGAAGGCTCAAAACATCAAAGAGTACAATTAGATGTCATCAGAAGATCACATTCTGTCTCTAGGCATCTGAAGAGTTCTCTGTCAACTGCCTTTGATAAGTCCAAATTTAAGGATGATTAATTCATATAAAATGAAGAAAAATACTTGGGGTGTTGATTTTTTTTCTAAAAGTCTTTCTTGATATCAGTCCTATTTAGAAACTTTCTTCCACTCTTATCTAAAATAGTAAATCTTTGGTCCAAGAAATAAAGTGAGGATTAAGAATGTTCCACTTTTGTGGGACTATGAGATGCAGTACAGCACTTTCAAGGCAAAAGGAAACACGAGAGTATCCAACATGCAAGAAATCGCATGGGATGCGCCCTTCAGCCTCATACCACACACATAGATCCAAAACCTGGGATGAAGTTCAACTGCTTGGGTGGATTCCACAGTCAGATAGTTGTGATAATAAATTTTTGATCTTAAAAGAATGCAATAAAGACTTTTCACTCAAAGTTCAATGAATATAAAATTATAATAATTTATCTTATGTAGTAGAAAATCCTTGCAAATCAGCTTAGCTGGCTCTGTTTATTACTTAAGGAGTTATGCTAAGAGGAGCATTAGTTGTGCTATTAGAGAAGCTCGTCCAGGGTCACTGGGAGAAAATGATAACACTTTTTCCCACCTCCAATTCTTCCCAGTTTTCTGCAACATTTTGTGAGTCCAACATTTAACCTGCCCAGTCTTAAGAATCATGTTTTGAACATTAAAACATATCCTAGACCTTCACACTCACTAAATTAGAGCAGCAGGCAAGGGACTAACACATTTCTACTTGGATGAACCAATAGATTTGCTTAATGCCTTGTGCTCAGTAAGTGTCTAAGGTCATGTCCAAGTACCACAAGCTACATTATCAATATCAATTAAGAGAAAGGGCGATAGTAACAGCTGCAGTAGTAGCAGCAGCAGCAGCAGCTGGAATTTGTCACTGCTATATTAGGACATGCAATAACAAGCATCTTAGCATAAATTTATCTAGTAATCCTAGCTCTTAAAAGCAGAGGCAAGGGGCTGGGTGATAGCTTGCTCATTAAAAGGCCTTCCATTTAAGTACAGCAGTATGAGCTCATTGCCCAGAACCTATATTTGAAAACAAAATCTGGGAGGTCTTGAGGGAGCTGGAAGATTATAATCAAAATATATTTCTTAAGCATTTTATTATATTAAAAACCAACCAAGTCAGAAATCCAATATTTTCTTGTCATCCCAGGGCTGGGGAGGGGAAGATAAGCTGCCAATTCTTGAGGCTCATTGGCTGGCCAGCCTAGCTTCCTTGGTGAGTTCCAGGCTAGAGAGAGAGATGGATGGAGTCTAGAGTTTAGTCTAGACAACTAAAACCTTCCACTCACACATCACATGCACACACACACACACACACACACACACACACACACACCTGCACCTGCACACAGATAAATGTGTTTGCATACACACATGTATGGGCACACTCAGAGATATGAAAACATGAGAAGGGACATTTCTACATCTCGAATTAGCATGATCATGTAGCTTATTTTGTGCACCAAAGAACTTTCAAGAGCAGGGAAGTTCTATCACAAGTTCCAGACTGTGTCTGAAACCACTACCATATGGTCATCTGAAATCTCTGGAAAAGCAGGCTCTTGGTGTCGAAAATATAAATGGAAGAATTCCTCATTTGAATAATTGTATCCAAGTATATTTTCTGACACAGTGGCTTTTTTTTTTTTTTTTTTTTTTTTTTGCAGCCAGGCTTTCAGTGACTAGAGGAGCTGGGTGAGCTTCTGAGGCCCTGAGAGATTCCTTGTGAAACATATGAAAAAAAAATCATCACATTGGTACTTTTCAGTGAGTGATTGTATGTCTAATACATTATCCTTTGATCCTTGACTTATTTCTTCTACCAGCTGTCTTGGCAATATGCCAGTCCTGATGAGAGGGCTTAAAGAGTAGTAAGTTGAGGCTATTACATTTGGTGAGTTTGGGAAGTCCTGGTAGTTTCGATTGCCCTTGTGACTTTTACAGAACTCTGACTACTGTGAAGGCTGATCCAGCTGGTAAACCTTCCTTCTTCTACAATGCAGTCAGCCTGTTCTTTTGATCTGCTTTGGGAGAAACTGTGTATATGTGTATTTTTGAATCCAGGACTCATTACGATCAGGTATAATATAATTTATCCTGACTATGGGTTCCTCCTCCCCCACTCTTCCCAGTTCTTCCCCACCTCGCCTCCCATCTGGACTCCCGCCCTCCATGTCTCTCATTAGAAAACAAGTAGGCTTGCAGAGAAGACTTCTTTCTCACCTGTGTTAGACTGTCTTCAGATAAGACGAGAAAACAGAATTATCTGTTAAACTAGATCACACATTTTCCTGTTAAGGTCAGTTTGTGATCCATCTTTGTATCTATTGTCATGATCTAAGTGGCTTTAGGACATATTTAAGTTGAGCCTTGTGAATCTGTCTACGTTTGATCACTTCGGGATTGTAATAAAAAGTAATTTCATATGAGTAAACCTACTAACAATTGTTCAGAAACAATTGTAGAATGAATGAGGTTATTTTTAAAACTTTTAAATCTTATCTGTACATAAACATACATATGTATATAGATATCTTTATGCACAGATTCGTATGAGTATACAGAAATATTACATGTATATGATGATAGAATCTTTTGGAATGGAGTTTAATTTGTTTTCATTGAGGCATTATTGTGCTACATAGCCAATTGGCCTGACATTGCTATGTTACTCAGGCTTTCCTTATCACTCCTGACTGGTTTTAATTTTTCTTTTTTGAGTAAACACCCAGCTTCTACTAGGTGTCAGTTGAGTAGTTTTTAGATTTGTGTTTCCAAAAGAGAAAAGAACATGGACACCTTCCCTCCCCTCATAGAAATGGCAGTAACCAAGCTGACATCATGAATTGCTCTTTCATTTTTAAGTTACCTATCTAGGACTGTATGCTCTTTGATATCATTATCTTGTCTAATAACATTAGTAGGAGGTAATCTTTCTTTTTGGGTGTTTACAATACGTCAAGACATGGTCCTCAGCACTTGATGTCTGCCGTCTCTTTCTCATCTTATCTCAATCCTTTGGGATGGGTAACATCATTATCTTCATTTTTCAGATGCTGAAATTGAGGCATCCAGAGCTAGTCATTTGCTGCAAATCACACCATTCACAATGAACAAGGAGCTGGCTGTCAGATCCAAGCATTGTGGCTTCATTCCTTTCAAATACCACATAGAATCTCACCAGGAATCCCAACAGGAATGTATGTGCCTTAGAAACTGGAATGCATTGAAAATCCACTGGCTCTGTGAAATACTTAGTATCTGGTAAGTGCTACATGATTTCAAGTTACAGTCTTGAAAATGTACCTCATGTTTGAAGGTTACAGCTTACTCCTCTTATAAAAAGCTCAAAATAATTTTGAGTGGTAGCATCTCATTTCAGTATCCTACACTAACAATTGGGAGGTAAAGAATCAATTACCTTATAGATGATGTACAGCAGGAAAAGTCATAATACATCCTATTAAGAGGTTTTAATTAGACAGGTTTATTTGCTGTTTGGTTTTGAGTAAATAGGTGAGTTCAATTTCATCTTAAATGGCTCACAAAGAGTATGTTTAGACACTTGATTCCCAAGATTGTGGTACCACAGAGAGGATGCAGAACATTTAGGTGGAGTGTGGAGGAAAGTTTGATAGTTAGAGGCATGCCCCTGATGGGGATAGAGGACACTTGGCTTCACTCTACTGCATTTCTACACCATCATTTAACTAAGTCCAAACACAAAAACAACTGGGTCAAGAGATAGACCTGAACCTTTGAAACTATGGCCTGAAGTAAATCTTTCCTGTGTAAACTTATTTATCTTGGTTGTTCTGTCTCAGCTAAGGAAAGCTGGTACACATAGCATGAAAACACATCGGGAAAACCATGTTTATTGTTTCCTTTCTATATTAATTCTGTTTCCTAATATATTTGCTTGTTACTTGTTTTATAATTTAAAACTATCATTTGTAAAAAAATATTGCATAGATAAAAGAAAAATAAGCTGATTAAGTGGGCACAGTATTCAACAACTTGAAAAAAAATATGCAAGATATATACAAATATGTAAATATTTAATGTGTATTACATATAAGTAGTATGTATGTATATATTTAGTAAAATAATTTGTGGTATCCTTTAAGTTTGAATGAGAATCACCCTATTGTCTTCTGTAAATCAGCATTACATAGTGACAGAATATCAATGGGGGGAATCAGGATCTTAGACATTTTGCTTTAAGTTTTGGGCCTTAGTTGTACTGACAGAATAAAAGAATAGGGTTGTTAAACTGGATTATTTTATGTTTCACAAATAACTCTTTTCTGCAAGTATCATGAAACGAGACTGTAGTTGTCCAGCTAAGATTTTAGAAAATACAATTCTGCTTCTAAGGTAAGTTAGGCATACTCCACTCATTGGGAAGCCATACTGTACCATTAAGTAGTCAAAAAGTTTTCTTCAATTTATCACAGCTCAAAGCAGTAGATCAAGGCATTGAAGACTTGGGAAGATTGTCCATATGCAAGTGGTTGTTCTTTATGGATACCATTGCACTCTGGTTTTGAAGAACAGGCAGAATTGGGTTGGTTAGGCAATGAGACTTATCATTTTCAAGTTAGGACTTTGGGCATTGTTCAGTTATATCATTTTATGAATTTTATTTTAAAAAGTATCATCAAGCCACACTTGGGAAAGCAAAACGTGGGTCATTTGATTGTCCTTGTTATCTCTACATAAGGAAACATGCTTAAAAGGCTAAGGTTAGGTGCCGATCCCCTGGCAGGAAGAACCTGTCATGAGAAAGGGTTACCTTTTTACAGGCTGTGATGGAGCCGGCCAGGTTGCCTGCTGTACTGCTGGTGATCAGCTGTGGCTCTGAACCTTCATGCATCAGTGGTGACTCCACGTTGCTGTGTGCCCCAAACACAAAAGAAAGAAAACACAGTCAGTCCAGTGACTCATCTCTTTCCTTAGAAATGCAGAGGGGATCACATATTGCATCCCAATCAAACCGGTTTTTTTCTGATTGCATTCAATATAACCAGTCTTGCTCAAGCTGGCATTTCCTTGTTGGGATCACTTTGGGAATTGGAAATATGATGGGCCGTCATATTATGAACAGAATGCTGCAAGCCATTGCTTCCCACAGTGCTTAAATGGACACAGTCCCACCGGCCTGACTTCTGACAATGCTAGCTGCTTTTCTTAAGCAGGTTTTAAAACCAAATAAAGCCTTCTCACTTGTCACATTAATTCAGCTCTGCCAAGCCAACACGTCATAAAAGACTCATCTCATTTTTTTCAAAATGAAGGTAAAAAATTTTAGCCAGAAATGCAGTGAGACATGACACCAGAAAGAATCTGAGCTGAGCAAGGGCCAACTACCCCCTTAGCATTTCTCTGGTGGCAGAATGTCCTTCAAATTGTCTGCTTCAAGTTTTGAAATGTGTCACTACATCTATATCAAACCTCGCTGGGTTTGTCTATGAACAACAAAGCATATACATTTTTGAAAGGTTTAGAATTATGGCTACATTTTTAAGAGATGATAAAAAACTGATGTTTTGAATTTTTTCATTACAAAATTGACAGTTGAAAATTAATCCCTCCCTTTAGATGCTTAAAAGGCCTCTGAAACTTTATAAGCATTTAAAATATCATTTTCCATTTGAGAAATAGGACAATTTGGAATCTGAAGACATCCTCATGTCATAAGTCAAGTGCTTGGCCATGATTGTTGGTCATCACATAGAATATGCACAATTTATTAAAGAATTTCTTTTGAAATATTATCTGATGGCTTCATATGAAATTTTCTGAGTTGTAGATATTTTTTCTTAAAGTCAATTTTTAAAAAGTAAATCAATTCAACAAACAGCATGTTCCTAATAGTATTCTACTCTTTAAGTGTGAGGTTATGAATTAGTTTTATCTGATTAGGATATGAGTGTAGTCTGTTTGCCTTTTTCATTAATGGTAGTAAATGGTTGTGTTTCATGACAAATCATAGGATCTACCAAAGTTTCTAGAGAGCTCAAACTAGTCATAGGCTACTTTCTGACTACTTGATATTCTGCGGACTATAACACATTTAATAGAAAGGAACAGGCAGCACCCACGTTTTTCTTGCTTAAGGGAGATAAAGGAAAAAAAGGAAAAGAAAAGGAAATAGACATGGAAGAAACACAAGAGATATGGAGGAATGGAGTAAAGACAAATGCAAAGAAGGAATAGGGGGTTAACACTGATTACAAATTGTTACCATGTGATAGACAAGACTACAGCCCCACTAACCTTGGCCCACTATTACTGGTTTGTGAATAGAGAAAAGAATGCATTTTTCCTTTTAGTAGTCACTCAAGTCCTATGGGCAGGGATTCAAGAAGAGAACTCTGTGTCCTGTTTCTATCGTACCCCCTATTTTCTTTGGCCAGCTAGTGGATGACTTGTACTATTCGTTCTAGGACTTGGGTGCAGAGTTAGGGCATATTCCACATCTGTTATTTTTATAGGGTTAGGGACCCTAGAATGGCTGAGAAGTAAAACTGAGAGAGGTCCCAGGCTATTCATTGCTGATATGAAACATTAAAGTCAGCAAGTCAGTAATCTGCGAGTGCTCTAGAAGGAAATTCATCTGGTTGAATGAGTCAATTAGAGCCCAAGTCAGCAAGCAGGTGATTTGAAAACAGGGAGTGAAGTATAGCCTGAAACTTATATAGCTGCCCACCAGGCATATGCTGCCAGACTTTAGAAAGACTGGTATAGTACTCAAAAGCTTTAGAAGTGTTCGCTCATTCATTAAAAGGAAGAAATAGAAACTCTGCCCATCAATTTCTTAGTGGTTATCTCTCATCTTTCTGACGCACTTGCTGGATGTAAAGATGCATAAAGGAATATAAGTTTTGTTACTTGTTTACAAGGCTCACTCCATTTGCTCAGTTAAGACTATAAAAGCAAATAACTATGTATATGTATATATATGTATATATATATATATACATATATATATATAATTACTAGTTAGGGAATTAAATGAGGAAATAGAATGACATCATAGGTTTTAAGTCAGTTTGATGAGTGTATTACTTCATGGCAAACATTGTGCAACCTCACCACACCAACATTGGAAGCAGGTTTATCTCCTCATCTCCCAAACCACCAAATATAGAGCTCTGAGGACATCTAAAACTAGCAACAAAATACAGGACGGTCTGTCTTTTAAAAATCATGTTATATAAATGTAGATTTCTAATATGTGCCAATACCATTGGTTCCATCCCTTCCATGGCCTTTGGGTTAGAAATGGGATATTTAAGTTTTTATAAAGATTTGTCCTTAGTCTCCATGGAGGTTAAACTTGGGCTGCTGCAGAATGAAGGAAGATGGGGGAAACATGAAACTTGTGCATTTACTACCATGAGCTTAAGTTGACATGAAAAGAGTCACTGTCAAGGCACTCATTACAGTTCTGTAAGTCTCTCTAATGGGCAAGCCGTAAATCTTCCTTGGGAGGTTTTCCTTTGATTTTGACAAGTGTTGGCAATATTTATTAAGGCCAGCCTTTCAGGCTGGATTTTGTGTAGAAGCTGCAATATCAGTTTCAACGAGAAGGAAGATAAAGTGGGAAAGAAGATATAAAAGCAAAACACGATACAAAGAAGTGATTTAAAGCTGGCCCTCTATCAAGCAGTTTTGTTTACAGAAAACTAAAAGGTCATTTGTGAACCAAAGAGGTGTTCAGGGGCCACTGCATTGCATCCATTATGACTCATGTGCAGTGAAAGACTAGGTCAACATCAAGGGTCCCATGATTTCCTCAGAGACAAGTATTTCATATGTAGACTTTTCTATATATTCCTACTCAGAATCTGGTCCAGGAGCCAGCACCAGCTGTATGGATCCTGGGCTCCTTACCTGGGAAATTCAGCTTCATCATTGTAACTATGGAATTGAACTATAAAAATTACATTAAAGCCAAGTGACTTCCATGCCTACTAAGTCTGAAAAGTAGTTGTCTGTCATACTAAGTGAGGTGCATCCTAATTTGCCATGATCTTTTTTGAACATGATATTTTTCATCCAGGAATATTCTTTCTAATTCTCTTCCTCTTTTCTTGACAATCCCTCCTCTACCAGTTGTATCTCAGTTTCTGCATTACTAAAGTCCCTCCTTAATTCCTTCTCCCCACTGTGGAGATCACAATCCTCTTCAACACCATTCTGAACCCCAACAACACACAGACACATTTACACTCCTACCTATTCCCACCCCTACCTAAGTGAAGTGAGATACTCACTGTCCTCCATGTCCCAAGAGTGTCCTGAGCAACATCCTCTCCAGCACTTGTCAAGAAGGCCAATTTATGTATAATATTTCTCTTTTTCTCTCCCTTTACACAGTGAGCTTTAAAAGTACAGCAACCACAGAGACCCCAAGACAATGCTAGGTAGCAAGCAATTGCTGAGGTTGTTTACTCCCATCTTTCTGGGAAACCAGTTAACCTCAAAAGATTAGACACAAACATGTGTTTGCATTCACTGTTTAATTTTCAGCAGCAGTGACAGATGGTAGGATAAACCGTATCTGAGAAGATAATTTAAAGTATTTCCCAGGATAGTTCTAATGAAAAAAAAAAAGACCCGCTGTTATTGTTGTTAAACACAGTGTAAAGTCAAATGCTTTTGGTAGATTGTGAAAAACAAGATTTTTCTCCTGAGTTCTAAACACTTAAAGGACGCTTTTTGTAAAATGTAGTGATTATCATTTGCTGTTTGGTTGTTTAAGCCTTGTCAAGGATATGTGCTCTTGGCCTCTATACTAAATCCTCTCATCTCAACCCAATAATTCAGATCCATCTGAAGAGGTCTTATGTGAGAAACTGAGATACTCTCATTAGTATCAATTTAAGAAAGTGCTATGATCTAGAATTATTTAGAGAAATTTAAAGTATGTGTTTGCACAGATCAAAATGAAAGATCGCTCTACTGAATGTCCTTATTTTTATCCTTATTCAAAAGGAGTTACCTGCTAAATGGGAGAGATCAGGTACTTTGGTCAATCTTTCAAAAACTAATCCGTACTACAAGTCACATGATGCGCTATTGTCTCTTGCTTTTATTTCCTGAGCCATCTCTTAACTGGGACTTGGTCTTTGGTTTTGATTAAGTTTTAGTCTGACTTCTGTGAGTATCCTTTTCAGCTATGCCTAGACCTTGGTCTACTGAGTCTTATATTAATAATAAACTTCCCTACCAGAGTTTAGCAAGAAGCCTCCTACACTGGGTTTCTGACCAGTTTTCAAATCCCTTCACCCTATTGTTGTCCTTGACCTGTTTTAGCAAGTACACTCAATTAAGTGTTATAGTTCCCATCCTTAATATCCCTTCCTAATACTTCCACTTTCAGTGGTTCTTTCTTCCGACTTTCTGTCTATAAATTTCCACTTAGTATATTTAGAGCTAAGGCCAAATCTGTACTGATGTCACTTGCACCTATTATAATGGCTTACATAAAATCTCCCTTGCTAATTACAGATATCTGGTGCAAAAACAAATCTATTTACATGATATTTTCTAGTTTTATTAACTAGGCAAGACTTTGTCCTCTTTTAATTTAATTTTGTGCCCATGTGTATTGTCCTCCCCTCTGATACCCCAGTTTGGAGGTATCCATGCAAATTGAGTTCACCAGTCCAGCTGTGGTTGAAAGGTCTATTGAATCCTCATGAGCTATAAGAGTTTAGTAAATATCAGAGGAATCAATTAGTCAATGTTGAACATATTTGGAGATCATCTTTAATGTATCCTGTTTTAATATTGAAAGGTCTTCAAATAACTAAAGAATGAAGTATATACCTTTGATTTAGCACACCAATGGAATAATAACAATAAAAAATCTAATAGAAGCAAA